CCTGGGAAGAGCACAATGATAATACCAACATGGGCCAGTGAAGCGACGTCCTCCACAACTAGACTGAAGAACAAAAGGACAGCAACTTGTCTGTTCACCTCCCCCAATTCCCCAATAAAATCTTTAAAAAAAAACAGTACAGGGAGAGGCGCCTGCGCTGCAGACCATCCCTGGACTTATTCGCTTCTCCAGGGCCACCGCGGTCAGCCCCGCCACTCGGCCACTTCTGTTTTACCCACGTTCTCCCTGAAGCTCACCTGCCCACAGACCCCACCCTGTGCCCGCCTTCTCCAGCTCCCTGCTGGCTCCAGGCAGGTCCTTGGACTGCTTCTCTACCTACAGGCACTTCCTCCAGCAGCGCCACCCAAGAGCAAACTGTGAGGCACACGTATGTAAGCTACTAAAATTTCTAGTAGCCATATTAAACAACAAAAACAAGTGAAATTCACTTTAATATTCGGTTGTCGGAAAAATCATGACATATTTTGTCTATGTTTTTCATTGCAAAAATGCATCATGACTTTTCCAACAACCCAGTGCGTTTTAACGTAATATATCCAAAATATTATCACTCAAATATATTCCAGGTAAAAGATTCTGAATGGTATTGTACATTTTGTACATTCTTTTTCCCATACTGTCTTTGAACTCGGGTGTGTATTTGACACTTACAGCCACACGGGGCCCGTCGCTACCCTACTGAACAGCACAGTCCTGGCGGCCTCCATCCATGATTTGATACCATCTCTGCAGTGATTACTCCATATTTCATCTCTACGCTGCTGCTCTCTCATAATCCCAGAATTCTAGAGCCACCAAGCTACTAGACAGTTAAGTGTCCAGTTGGCATCTCAACTTACAACACGTCTTAAAAAAAACCCAAAAACTGAATTCTCACCACCACCATCCTTGCCATGACCTTCCCAATGTCAGTCAAGGACAAGTCCAGGTTTCCACTGCTCCAGCCAAGCGCTCGGCGTTGTAGTGACGCCTCTCTCCCTCTCGCCCCCATACCCAATCCCTCTGAAACCCTCTTAGCTCCACCTTCACAATGCGTCCAGAGTGAGGATCCCCACTTGCTCTGCCCTCCCCCCGAAATGCTGTGCTCCTGGGATGTCCCCACATCTTTCTCCCTTATCTCCTTCAGGTCTCAGCGCAAGTGTCACCTTGTCAGAGCCATTCCCTGTCCATCCCACACAACACAACACCTCCAACTCCTGCTGTATTTTCCCTCTTAGCACGAATTTTCACCAGAAACACGTATCCATTCGTTTATTCCTATTTCCAGTCTTCCCCTCCGCCACCAGGACAGAGCAGTGCTGTCTGGGGTTGCCATGGCGGTGCCCTGCTCTGATGGCCCCTCATGAGCACCTGCTGTGTGGACGGAGCCAGGCTGAGCAACAGCCTCTGGCTGTGGCACCCTCCCAGTCACAGAGCAAGGACAACTGGCCACAGTCCCTCAGGCTGCCGCAGCATTGCTAATCAGGAAGGGGTACTAGACCCAGGCCTCCCCCTTAGGCAGACCCCCCCCATCAGCCTGGCCAAGCTTCCTCAGCACTACCCTGGCCTGAGGCTGTTCCCGCCCGTCCCTCCTCCCCTCTCTCCTTTCGGGAGTCACGTCTGCCTGGAAATCCAAAGGGTCTTCCTAGGTGCTCCCGCTTCCTCCCTCTTTCCCTCCCCAGGAAATCCCCCCAACAAGTCTCCTGCATGTCTAATCACCTGGGCATCTGTGCCCAGGACGGAGTAGGCAGTCACCAAACATGATGGGAATGAACACACCTCTAGGACGAGGGCAGGGAAAGAACATGGACTTCAGGCTGTGAGGACAGACACCTGGGCTTCTGCTCAGCCGTGTAGCATCTGGAACCTCAGGGAACTTTCTTGAGTCCGCTGAGTCACAGCTTCACCATTTGGAAAGTGAAGATGATACCCTGAGAGAAGGTGGCTTCTTTCAGGGGCTGTCTGTCAGGAAAGTGAAAGGAAACGGTTTACCTAAGGTCCTTAGCACAAGGCCTGGCATGCAGGAACTGTTAACAAGTGTGGGCTCTTGTTCTGCCTTACCCATTTTCTGTAGCTACTTCTAGAATCCTTTCCCTGACCCCTTCCCCATGAATTCAGACCACTTTTTAATGAAATAACACCCCCCCCCCAATTATCCTATATACCCACTACTGAATCCCTTGTTCCATTGAGCAGATGAATAAACGACTTTCATTCCTATACTGGGCAAACAATTTATTTACTAGATCTCAGAAGGTGAAATCTCATCAGTGGTAGGCATCTTAACACCCTGAAACTTAACGCTATTTCCCTAAAGCTTGGAGAAAGCACACTTTTTAAAAAACAAACCAACACAAAATCTAAAAATGCAGTTTAGTATCAACTTCTTACAGCTAAGGTTTTTAGAGCCCCTTTAAAAAAAATTTTAGGTTTGTAGCATTCTAAATCATTATGAAGTTTTTCAAGAAAATAAATACGGACTTTGCGTGGATTTCAATTTAGCAGTTTTTCAAAAAAACCTCAAGCATGACTGCATGCGTTTACATATGCATTCTACAAAGCCTCCCAGGGATAAAGTAAATTGTTAGTGGGAGTCACTCCGGAAGGCGTGAGGATGAGCGGCTCTCACTTTTATGTGCCCCCTTTAAACTCTCTACAGGACTGGCCACATAATTGCAGGGTCCAGTGCAAAGTGAAAATGTAGGCCCCTTGTTCAAAGTTACTAGGAATATCAAGACTGCGGCGGCAGAGCATGAAACCAAGTGAGGGCCCCATGGGACTCTACAGCTTGCTGTTCACGGGGTGGGGCCTGAGCCTTTATAATTTTTATTAGTCTAATATTTACTGTGCAATACAAAAAGTTGTCTTCCTTAATAATATAAAGTTATATCACTGAACTACTTCCGAGAAAAAAAATACCCAGCCTAATGTCTAAAATTATTAAAACTCATACAGCCACCAAGAAAAATTTTAACATGATCAATGGTAATTCAGAGAAGTTAGAAACTTGCTGGTCAGTTTTTTTAGACTACTCAGAATAAGGAAGTTACCCTGTAAGTTCACCAAGACACGTATAAGAAAGCTCACTGCAGCACGGTGTTACAGTAACACCAGCATGGACGCGCCCATCCCGTCAACCAGTTACGTAAGTGCCTGGCACCGTCACACAACGGAACACTTGCTACATAAAAGCAAGGAGGCCATGAGGCAGACCTGTACAGGAAATAGATCTGTATGTGCCGGCATTTTTGAAAAGCACTCTAAGACACAAAGTTTACTGTTTGTTTAAACACAGAACTCTCTCGACCATGACTCCAATTTTTAGAGGTACAGGCATAAATTTTTTTTTTCTGTGACATCCAAGAAACTTATCACTGGTTTTCAAATGCGTACAGGATGGGAAGGGGGTGAAGGAGATTTACTTTTCATCCTATAACTTTTACTTCCTTTTTTAGATTTTTAACATGTACTTTTCAAAGAATAAATAGGCTTTAAAATAGTTACTTATATTCATAACAATGTTTTGGTATATCATACAAAATATACTTTAAGTTTTAAATCAAGCCTTACATTTTATAAAAAACAAGAAACTCCTTAGATGGTACTAACAAAATATTAACAAAAATACAATCAGTACTCAATCATTTATGGTGGTAACCAAACAAAGCAGTGTCAAGTAGCAACCACCACCACAAAAAAAAAAGGATCAAAGATGTGTCTATTCAATTTCAACTTCCTCTCCATTAAAATCTTCAGGAAAGATGCTAACAAGAAGCAAAATGTTGATCAGACACTTAAGAAAAGGCCAGTAACTGAAGAAAAAATTAAAGAGCATGAATAAATCCCCAAACTGGGCAAACAATTTTGAAACAGCCTGTTAGGATTCCAAAGGTGCTCTGGAAAATGTAATTGAGCTACAGACAAACTCCCAGCTGAAAGCAAAATAAATCCCTCCCCATGTTCTACCTCCCCCATTACTGAGGTAACAACCATTTACCTCCCAAAATTTGAAAATGCATCCAGGCATATTTCTTTACACTTATATTTATCTCCATGTCCTTTTTTCTCCACAGGTGACTGACTCATTTCATTTCAATATTTTCTGAGGGAGGGCCCACTCCCCTGCGCGAGGCACAGTCACAGGCTCACTTCTGGTCACAAGAGGAACACACACGTGCGCACACACCACGCACGACCTGTATCCACAGGACTCACATTCCTTCATCACTCTACAAACATACATACAACACATTCTCAAGCATTTTTGCAACTGTTAATTTTCTAGCTGCTCTACTGCCTTTATTTCTAATACAGATACTAGTTCATTCACTGGGATAACCCTATCAGCCCAATGCTTTGGGGCAGGTTTTAAAAGCAATTTATGAGGAATATATAGATTTCCAATGATTTTTTGAAAGCTCATAATCATAAACATAGTCAATGTATGCCAATGCAGCAATCGATATAGTCTTATGTTGCTGCAGGCAGGGAATTCCATATTATTTTAGGATCAACAGATAGCACTTTTAAAAGTTTCTGGGTACACCTTGTTAATCAGTAATGCATATAAACTTAAAAATAGTAACTATATATTTAATTAGTTTCCAAATTATAACTGGCTTTCCTCACCTAGTTTCTCCCTATCCATCCAGGGGTACGCTGCTGACAGAGCAAAGAAGAGACAGGGCTATGGAGAAGCCTCATACAGGGAAAGGCCTCGGAGATGACGTCAAAAACAGAACTTCAATGTCAACAGTCATTCCAAATACTAAATAGGAAGAGATTCTATTGCTTAATGAATAACTTCAAGATATAAAATTAAAATGAAAAATTTTGCTTTACTGAAAAATAATAGTGTGTAAAATCTGACAATTTCCATTTTCCACCGACTTTCTGAAGCCACATGCAGAAAATGTGGATCACCAACAGACAGGCGTGCCTGTCTTCAGAATATTGGGTTGTCGGAAAAATCATGACGTATTTTTTCTGGTTTTCGTTGCAAAAATGCATCATGACTTTTCCAACAACCCAATAATTAGGACCACCGTCATGAATCTGCTTGTGCAAAAGCCCTCCCCAGCCAAATACTCATTTTTCTGCTTATTCTCAAAACTACTAAAAGAACAGAGGTGCAGTGAGAGGGGGGCAGATGACTTATTTCTTTACACACAAGCACCGGAAATAAATCCATGAACAGTGTTATTAAACCAGCATAAGCTGTATAATCAATCAACTTACCCAACCACTAGTGTTCTCTATACCTGCTCCAACTAACAGCTAAAAGCTGCCACTTTCTACATGCTGGGCCCTGTTCTGAGTGGGTCATGTGAACGGATGCATGAGCTCTCATATAAAGCCACTCCAACCCTGCTCCCCCGCTAGAATCAGGGACTACAGCCCCTGAGGTAATTCAGTCTAACACCTAGTAAATAAGCACTGTGTAAAAGGAAAAGACTACACCGCACTCGAGAAGGAATCAGCAACAGTAAGATTTTCCTCTCTCCCCTCAAGGAGTTTATAGTCCAGGAAAGATCTCCATGTAAAGAATAAGCGAAAAAGTCAAAAGGTAAAAATAGCTTAGTGGAGGAAGCAGTCTAGCACCGTATAGAAGAACAATGAGGAGTTAATTCTGAAAATCAGGGGAAGCTTCTTTCACAGAAGAGAAAGCATTTAAGCCAAACATTCAGTATTAAGGAGTTTGATAGGAAGAAAAAGGCAGAAAGGACATTCCAGAATAAAGGAATTGGACAACCATGAAAGGGGCCAGAGGCCTGGAGGTGAAACACAAGGTGACCACAGAGATGCAGTAAAATATGAAGCTAAAGGTCAGAATGAGGCCAGATGGCATAGGACGTGGGATGATTTCCTAACCCTTTCAACACCAAGCTGTGGTGCCTGCAAGGTGAAAATCATTGCACGAGTGAGCCTACCGAGAGAACTAGGTCATCCCTCAGGTGTGCTGGGATGCGGGGAAATGCTGATGAGAACCTCCGATGTATACTTGGGGGAGGGTATCTGATTTGATTTCCCTATTACATAGTTCTGGTGACAGAACACAGGAGGGGACCAGAGAGGCTAGAGAAAAGGGAGGCCCGTCGTCCGCAGGCTGCAGTGACAATCAACACAAGGACAGCAGCCTGCGGGGTCAGGGGCAGAACCCTAAGGAGAAGCCACATGCAGGCAGGCCTGGTCAAAATCTGGGCTAGAAAGGGAAGACTCAAAAAGTTTCCGGCCTGAGTAATGAGGAGGACGAATGTGCTGTGAAGTTAGACGTCTTATTACCTTGTATCTGAATGAGGACATGCAGTGCACAAAGTATAACCACTTTAAGTGACACTACAAGCAAAAATAGCACAGACAAGGCTGTTCTCATTTCACGGGATAAAGAAACTAAAGTCCAAGAGAGATTTAACCAACCTGCCCACGGTGACCCAGGGGGTGAGGGATAGCCAAGACACCACCCTGCGTCTTTCAAGTCCAGCTCCCATGTTCTTTACGGAAGCCCCTCCAAAAGCAAGTTACTTTTTAATGACTATAATTAATCTTATTAAAAAACCCATTTTAATCAAAAAAGCATGTAATCTGCTGGGAGTGCAATCACATCCCGAAGGTAAGGAATATTTTAAAGCTTGTGCTCTGGTTCCCTCTACCCAAGAGACAGGGTTCAATGCCGTGGCAGCAGTAGTGCAGGCTCACGGATCCTCAGAGTTAAGGCAGATGGGGGAGCTGGAGGTTTGTCCTCTGTACAAAGATACCACTTGGTATCATGTGAGAGGCCAGAAATAACTGAAAAGAAACATTCTGAGTATTAACTACCTTCAATATAGCAAACCTGCATTTCGGATGTTGTGGCTGGTACTCCGACGTTTGCTATTAAAGCACTTCATAATGATATACTGCGTAAGGAGGATTACAGACTTTGCCTTTATTTAACAAACGCTTGAACACTTTCATGTTTAAACCCCTGAGCAAGGAGCTGGGGGTAAAACAAGGACATGGTCACCACAGCCAGAGTTAACATACACAATACAACATAATATAGGCAATAATGAAAGTCAAAATAGAGGATTCTGAATGCAGAAATTAATAACTCATTTTGACAGGATTTCCAAAGGGATCCAGGATATAAAATCAGATGTGGACTTTTAGAAACTGAAGGGGATGGGAGTGAGACAGGGCATACCAATCGGAGAGAAAGACAGAAGCAAAGAAGGGATGAAGCTTGATATGTTCAGAGAACCAAGAGTGGTCCTGTTGAGCGGGGCAGTGTGGAAAGGTGAGGCAGAGCACAGGTCAAGTTCAGAGGTGACGGGGCCGGGCTATGAGGGGCCTTGAATGTGAAGCTGGTGGGCCCAGATTCCAGTCTCCATACAGGCAGTCTTAGAAGCTCTCTGAGCCAGAGACTGGCAAGATCTGATCTATGTTTCAGAAAGATGACTCTGGCAGCCAGGCAAAGTGTGGACAGGAAGGGGTGGGAGGAGCCCGATGACTAAGCTTTAAGCCGGGAAAGGAATCTGAAGCTTTGACACACTGGTACTAATTAAATATCTTAAAGGGGTTGCCTGTTGCTGGGATTATTTCACATCTCCCTGCACTTGATCATCCCAACCATCCTGAGACAAGCAGCGGCATTGTTCCCATTTCACGGACCAGAAGAAGTGGCTCAGAGCATTAACTGCTCCAAGAGAAATGCTGCTGCAATGGAGAGAAAACCCAAGCTCGGGACTTTTCCACACTGGGCAAAAAAAATTTTTTTTAATCCTATTACTTTTTAAAAGTGCTACTATAAAAGCAGAGTGATCTATAAAATCATCAGTGAAGTGCTAAAAACAATCCATTTAATGTTCCTAAATGTTTGCAACTTGTGTAACGAATAAGATAATTACCCACAACATAGTTACAGATCTGCCTTCTGTTAACTTCATGTTAAAGACCTGTAACTTTTCTTTTTTAAAAAAACCTGGACCTCTAATTCCACTTGCTATGGAATTTAAGAGAGTAGTATTCCCTCCATTCAAAGTTCCAGTGGCCAAACTGGCGTTTCATTGATGAAATAGGCTTATGTAAAAACCATTATACATGTGCCCAAACTGAAGTGGTAAACTACTTTTTATTAAATTATTAAAAATTCATTATTTAGCAGGTACAGCAATTGAATCTAGAATTAGTAAGCAGTGATTGCAAGGAGCTTACCTATAGGTATGCAAAGGCACAATTTCAGAAACAGAGTTTGTCACAAAGGAACGGCATAAAGATTGAGACCCATTTAAGAATGGATCCACCCAAAGTAACATGAGATAATATCTAACCTTCAAGATGCAGAGTGGTAGATTGTTTTCCCCCTTTAAATTCAAAGTCTATGAAATGGTCAAGATGTTCTGCCTGGCACAGGACTTACACAGAAGAAATGCAGCTGGGGGGGGGGGCGGAGTTGAGCATGTAGTTTTATCTACAGTATCACCGAATATCAAAACTGCTTGCCCCCACCCCCTCACCAATCTTCTACCACCGTTTTTTGTTTGTTTGTTTAAAAAAGACCCAAAGATGTAAAACCCGTTCTCAGGAACTTCGACAAAGCATCCAACGTAGATCCAAGTATCCAAGTCAGGTAATTAATTGTTAGAAGGAAGCGCATTTGGTTAAATCATTCCAACGAACCACATGCCCCGCTCCCCGCTTAATCGTCTATAGTACTTTCTACAAGGTTAAGTCTCTATAGCTTCCCTATGGAGGACAAAAACTGAGAGGTGGCGAAAGAGAAACCAAAACTGGGTCGGGCCACGATTTGGGGGTCGGCTCCCAAGAGCGTGCAGGCCCTGTCATGTGCGCACCGCCGGCTGCACGCTAAATCCTGGGACAGCACGCAGCATTTCACACGCAGCAACCCGCGTTTCTCCAGCCGAGAGGATCGGAGAGCTCCTAGAGGCCGCCGCGGACGCGTGCCCTTTGGGGCCAGCGGACTCAGGTCCTCCAGAGCCGCGGCGGCGGGTGACTTTGTGAGCCCGTCACTCCCGCAGGCGGCCGTAACCTTCTCCAAACCTTGCACCGCCCCCACCCCGTGCGCGCCAGGCCCCGCCCCCGCCCGCCAGGCCACACCCCGCGCCCGCCGCGCCACAGGCCCGCGCACCCGTCAGTCAGTGACTGCCCCGCCCCGCTCGGCCCCTCCCCCGCCGGCGGTTTCCCTTCCCGGGCCCCTAAAGGACAATGCTGGAGGGGAGGGGGCAGCGCAGCGAGCGCCCACCCGCCGGCCGGCTGGCCGGCCACACCGGGAGTCTCGCCGCCGCCCGCTCGGGGCGCCGCTCCCCGGTCCCACGTCCGGCCGCCGCCTCGCCTACCCCCAAAGAGCCGCTCCCTGCGCGGCGACACCGGCCCATTGTGCGGACTCATCGTCCGCCGCCCGCTCGACCAGCGCCCGGAGCGCGGCCGCAAGCCAGACCCGAGGCGGGGGTCCCCAAGCCCGCAGCCCGCAGCCCGCCGGGGCCGGCCAGGGCTTCCTGCAGAGCGCACGGCCCGCGGGGCGGCCGGCCACCCTCAGGTCGGCCCCGAGCCCCTCAGCGGCGGTGGCCTGCCCGGCCCGCGCCCGCTTGGCCGAAGGGCCGCCGCCCGCCCGCCCCAGCCCCCCGCGGTACCTGCCGAGCGGCGCGACGGCCGGCGGCGGCGCCTCCTCTCGCTCCGAGGGCTCCGAGCGGCTGCCGAGCGCCGGGCGGCCCTGGCCTGCGCCTTACGTAAAGCGGCGGCGGCTCCGGCGCCACTCGCGGAGGGCGGGAGGCGGCGCGCCGCGGCCGCTCCGCTCCGTTACCCGGCAACTGGCCTCAGTGCCCCGCCAGCCGGGCGCGTTTCATATCCTTCCGCCCAGGCGCCGGGATTACATCAGCGCCGGCCGCCCCGCCCTGGCCCCGCCCCTCCGGCCGGTCGCCGGGCCGCGGGCGCTGGAGGGAGGGAGGGCTGGAAGCGGGAGCCCACCCAGTGTGCGGAGAGACGCCCCCCACGGAGGGGCGCATGGGGGCTGCTGCTTGTTGCAAAACCCCCTAAACTCTGCTGCCGCTCCAGCCCTCCCCAGCCCCCGCCCAAGGAGTGGGACTCGACTTGCGCCCGATTCCGGGGTACGCGCGCCACCTGTCTGTGCCCCCTCCTTGCTGCGTCCTGGGATGGCTGGAGTGGGCGGTTTAAAATAAAGACTTTAATTTAAAAAAAGAAAGAAAGAAAGAAACCCGGAAGGCAAGCTAAAGAAATGTGACATGGCTCTTTTTATTAAGTTGGCAAAAATAAATTCTGGAAGATTCGGAAGTGGGAACCAAAAATGTGCACTAACCTTTTAATCAGCCTCTTTTTCACACACCCACCTTCCCTAAATGTGATTCCTAGGCCTGTCCTAATAAAAGGAAATCAAGTCTGATAGGCACCAGAGAGGAAGGAGCCTGGAGATTACCTGCTTACAGAGAGGAAGGGGGGTGGAGAGGGGGGTGACCTACCTGGGGTCATTGTCCACTGATTTATTTATTGAGCACCCACTGCGTGCCAGGCAATGAGTTTTCTGTTCAGAACTTGGCAAGCAGATTTCCCCCACCAGCTCACAGGCTCTTAGGAGAAGCAGAAGCACAGGTTGGGAAGGGGCCAACCGGACACCACGTGCTGGGAGCTGGAAGGACCGACCAGAGAGAACTACCATTTACACTACTTACAAAGTGGCTTTCTGCAAACGTTTCTTTTGTTCTTCAGAAGAATTCTGGATCCAGGCATTATCATCCCCATTTCACAGGTGAGGAAGCTGAGGCTTAGAGATAGTAAGTGATTTCACCTAAGCCTTGTGGTGAGTGGGTAAGTTCTTCTGATTCCAGGAAGTCACCCTGCCTCTTGCAGGAGGCAGGATTTGAACCCCGGCTCCTGGCTCTGAGGTCTGGGGTCTTTTTTTACAGCTCTCTCCTCATCAGCTTGCTCGCCATTTTATTCTCAGCGTTCATCTCAGTTGAACACATTGTGAATCACAGTGCATTCATTCAGTTAGTATCTTTTGAGCACCTGTTGTGAGTCTGGCTCAATGCCAGGCAGGGGTGGCCCTTCCCTCCTGTAGATCAAACTCAGAAAAAGGAGGGAGGAGATAAAAGGGTGTGGGAAATCCAGGGGGATCTGGGAGCAAAGGAGGGGCAGCTAATGGAGCTTCCAAGTCTAGTTCCCAGGCGCCCCCAGACCCAGGATTTCACAGACATAGTAACCCTCCCCCGCAATATAGGGGATTTGCAAAGGTCTACTTTTAATTTTTGCCACATTGGTAACATTGCTGTTACCAACACTCATCATTTTGTGAAATAGTAATAATATATCTCAGATGTCTCAGAAGAAAAGAAACAGTTGGCAACTTTATAGCCAAAGAGAGAGAGAGAGATTACTGACCTTATTTTTCTCATTTTGCCACAGACCAGTTTCTATAAACCACAAACTCATGGAACCAGAGGACATCTTGGAAGAAGAGGTATTGAAACTGAGTAGGAACTAACTAGGATTAGGAGGATTTGGAGTTGGTGGGGGAAGATTACAGATTAGAAAATGAAAGTCTTTTGGTTACTTTGTTTCCTTAACAAAATAGCCCCGGTCCTTCATATTGCTTGCTTTGATAAAAGTCCTGGAAGGTTGGCTGACCCCAGCCTCAGAGCCTTTGCGCTTACTGATACCTGTTGAAGGAACCCTCTCCCCAGATTTTTGCGTAGCTGGCTCCTTCTTATACAAGGCTCAGCTACAATGTCACCTACTCAGAAACACTTTCTCTGATCCCCAGTTTAGCTAACCTTCCTAGTCGTAATGCCACCACCCTGTTTTGTTCTATATTCACAGTTCTTTCACTCTCTGGAATGATCTTGGTTGTATTTTAAGATATGACTGGTAAGACCCCTAGGGAATGCAAAGGAGGCCAGAGGACTTTGGCGTTAAAGCACAATTGGTGTGGAAGCAGAGAAGTTCCACTTCAGGGTTTTCTAATAAGAAACCATCTTGGTCTCTGGGTATGTCCGCGATTATTCGTTTTATTTCCCCAGGCTCAGAACCACCTACCAGGGCTCTTTAACCCCTGCAGGAGGGCGGGTGAGGCAGCGAGAGGGGTAATATGACAACTCCCAGTGCCCTCTGACTTGGATGGTCTGGATGCCAGCAAGGGTTCCGGCCGATGCCAGCTAGGGCAGTGGTTTTGCGACCACGTGCGTGGGTGGTGAACATCAGGGGGCTGAGGCTGACTCTGGGATGCTTTGTGATACACACGCTGACGGGCAGTTAGAAAGCAGGGGCCAGGTCTCCTTGGCTCTGTGACCTTGCGTACATAATCTCCCTTTCTGGGCCTCAGTTTCCCCATATGCACAGCAAGGAATTTAGGCAGAAACCGCTCAAAGTCTCAGCTTCTTTCTTTCTTTCTTTCTTTTGTGTGAACTTGGGGAACAAAATTTCAATGAAACTGCACTTTGATAAAAGGGGGAGGTTATGTGTGGGTGGGCAGGAGGAATATGGGAACTCTGTACTTTCTGCTCAATTTTTTGAACTTTAAACTGCTCTAAAAAAATTGTCTGCTTTGAAAAATAAAAGTATATGTGCAAACCTCAGCTGTCGTCCAACAAATAATACCAGCTCCTGTTTATTGACTTGCAGCTGCAATCCCTGTGCTTTACTCACATCAGTTCCCACCCCCCCCACTTCACCCCCCCCCCTTGAAATAGTCAGCAGGGGGGAAGTTATCCCCATTTGCAGTTAAGAGACTCAGAGGCTCTGGGGTGGTTAGGTGGCTTGCCCCAGGCCATGCTGCTACTTACTAGGAGGCAAGCCACAGGATTTGATTGTAGCCCTGCGCTTGCCACTGTGCTACACTGTTTCATTAATATCCATCCTGAGTCAGCTTTTAAATGAATGATGCCCAGATACGAGCCCCACCAGAGAAGCGCTCCATTGCCTCCCCAGGGGACCAACGCCCTCATTTAGGATTCTAACCATTCATCTGCTTGGATGCTGTCAGTCAAGGTGCTCGACTGGCTTTCCTTCTCGCCTCTTCTCTTCGTTCCCCCAGGCCTGCAGCCCCCTGACTGTCCCTCCTCTCAGTGGCCCTGCATTCTTAGGAGTGGTAAATACCATTCTAGCATGTGAAGAGCGGAGGTCAAGTCTCTGACACAGCCTCACGGTATGACCTTGAGGAGCTCACTGACCTTCACAGGGCTTCCTAGTATATGAAATGATGGAGGGATACTGGCACTGTCCTGGTCTGTCAGTGTATTCAGGGCGAAACAACATCAGAGGTGTGGTATCCTCCCCGGACTCTAAGATGCCATATAAATGTCAAGTCTCATCATTATTCTTTCAAATGTGTTCCAAGGGCTGATGGCTTTTCCCCCATTCCCACTCCTCCACCCCAATCCACAGAAAACTCAACACCACTTAACTTGCTGGCATGGGTAAGCGATTTATCCTGTTTCCTCACCTGTAAGTGACGTCATAATAATAGCATCTGCCTGAGAGGGTTGTTGTGAGTGGATAAGGGAATCCACACACAGGGTCAGAGCAGTGCTCGGCACACAGTAAACAATAAATGCTGGACCTCCTTACATGGCTCCTACCCTGCCCGTCTCTGGTCCTCCTCTTCCTCTATCCGTCCTGGCTCTGCCCTTTCACCTGGTACCATGGTCCTGGGGCAGCTCTGTCCACTCCGTAGCCTGCATTCACATGGAGATGGTAGGATACCTATAACTCCCTCCTGGCTCTGACCTTTCTCTGAGATCTCAGACCTGCCTCCTGCCCTTGTCCACCTTGCTGGTGGGACCCCCACCCCAGCGTGTCCACAGCTGACCCATAGCCTTCCCCACACAATCAGTGCCCCTTCACTGGTCACTGTTGTCTGCCATTGTCCTCTCCCCAGCTGCTGAGCTAGAGTCCTCATGCACAGCTTCAGAAATGACCTTGCTGTCAGGCTCTGAGGTCAGACAGCCTGGGTGAGAATCCAGTGCTGCTGCTTGGCTGTTGTGCAACCTTGAGCAAGTTACTTCCTGTCTCTGGTCTGGCTTCCATAGCTCTAAAATAGAAACAACCAGAGCTCCCTCCGGTAGCCAACACTAATCTCTGGATTTGGCTGCCCAGGATATGAAGCCCCTTTCTACATTTAGGGAATCCCCCCACCTTGTGAAACTGGGCAAGGGAGGTGTGCAAGCAAGGCTGACATTTCTGCAGGAGCCTGAACTGAAGGCTGGACGCTGACCACACCTTCCTCCAGACCTCCTAGCCTCAGCCCTGAGGGCCGGTCATTATCAATGATACGAAACAATTCGCGAGGCTTTGTCTGCACTGGGTTTGCTCTTCCATACCCAGGGGTGCCCTGCGTCTGGGCGACTGGCATGCACAGGGCTTGGAAGTGATTTCTAATCAAGGTATTAAATTGTGAGCATAGCCCACCAGCCGCTGGTCAGCAGCCTGGCCTTTGGTAGGAGATGTTCCAGCCAGGTGCTATCTGAAGGTCTGGAGCAGGTGAGCTGGAAGGTGGTCATCCCTTCTTCTCCGTCAAAGGAAGGCCCCTGAAAGGCATAGGAGAAAACACGGTTCAGAGAAGAAGTTCTCACCACGGGGAAACCTGGGGCGGACCCAGGGCCTCTCCACTTTCCTCCACATCTTGGGCCAGAAAAGTTTTCCCAGCCAGGCAAGGGTGACAGGAAACGGGCCCTTTTCTTCCCCCCACTAAGCGCGCAGGGCTCAAATAAGGGCACTGGCTTGGCGCACACATCTCAAGCACTCACGGGCCAGTACTGTGCTGCCCGCTGGAGACTGGGATGAATAGCACA